TCGTTTATAGATTTTTCGTGTTAAAGGAAATGAATACGCCTAATTGATACCTTATAAAATCTTCATCAGTTGCATCCGAAAAAAGCTACAACACAATTGACCTCAATTTCCTAATGTCCTCCATATTCAGTGGTCTGGAAAACTTTGACCTTAAAGTTACCTCAATACTTTTCTCGGGAGCCTAGAATTTTAAATTTTGTAATATAATACCAAAAATCAAAAGATTGAAGCCGAATTTCAAAGTTGTGAAAATATTTAAAGGAAAATTTTAGGCATGATTTTTTTTTGAAAAATTAAGTACCGTTTTTATGTGATTCCTAAAACGACAAATGTAAGTTAACTACTAAGCAATGATAGTAGTTAACTTTCATTTTGTAATTACTTTTGTCCAACGTAAGCGCAGCTAGCCAATTTTAGTTTTTCCAATTTCATTTTCAAGGATTTTTTCTAAAAATGTTAATGATTTTTTTCTTTACGGGTTTTCAACACAAGTCGTTCTTCTTTCATTGGTTGTATCTTTTTCGTCCATGAGAATGCGGTCTGTCGTTCAAATTCATGGCCACAATTTTTAAAAAGCGCATTTTTTCTAATTTAAGGGCAACTACTACAGATGTATCAAAAAACAAGTTTCTTCTTTTTTTAAGCAAAATTTTGAAAAAACTCACTAGGTTCAGCCAAATTTTGTGGCGGGCGTTGATTCGTAACAGGCGTAATTTGGTGATTTTTGGCCAAAATTCCTTAAGTTTCTGGACCAACTTTGCTCCCGTCACATAAGCTCGATAAATTGTGAATTGTCGCGTGTGTTACACCCCAGTTCGGAAAGCCCGTTGCGTGGGGTAAACTGTTTGTTTTCTGCTTATAGTGATAATAGTTAGTTAACCTTTTAACGATAAATAAATATGGTTATTAGCCTCTCACCTGAAGCTTTTGATGCAATTCTTGAATGCAAGATAAAAGTTAACTCCCCACAACGAACGAGTAGAACGCAAATCCCCCATTATTTTTCAAATTAAGTGTTACGAATTGTCTCTTGTTACGAAATTTCACCCTTCAAAAAAATACGCTTAGCTGCGTATAACGAATTGTTTTCTTCCACAAATCGCCCCTTTTATCAACTTTCCTTTCACGGTTTTGTTTTTTTTTTATTTTTACCAATCTATCAAAACTTTCTGCTTTTTTGTTGATAAAGAAGAAAAAAAGTATCCCGCGCTAGAATTCCATGAATCAAAACGATTTAACTTGAACTTTTTTCAACGTTTATAGAAATGAAGAAAAAAAATTGATTATAATAGTTTTGAAAAATGGAATGTACTGCTATTATTTAATAAAGCATTAAAAAACTGTGTAAATTGATAATAATCGATTATTTTACACTTTCATGGATCAATACAATGAAAATCTATTAGTATCAATTTTTTTCCGCTCTATTGAAATGCGAATTTCTACTAACATAAAAAGTTTTCTACGTTTTAAACAAAAGTTGATTTTTACTTGTTGTTCAAACTTAACTTTTTCTGTGCAACTTTGATTTTTGTTACTGTTTTTATGGTAATCAACTTCTCAGTTTTGTCACCCAGAACCCACCTACACCAACTCCCCGCCATACTCAACACACTGCCCTAGCTGGGTCGGTTCTGGTGGGGGGAGGGGGTTGGTTCAAGTGAGGGAGGGGGAACCATGTCAGGAGGCGGCTGGTTGAGTTAGAGCAGGGGTTTTGAAAAGTTTCTGCCTTACTCACTTGATAAATGCAAAAATTCTTGCAGAATTTTGTGTAAAACAAAAATAAAGTGAAATAAAACCCATTTTATATGATTTTATATGGATTATAACTCAATTCAAACTTGATAACAACAAGGGATTATAGTCGATTTTTTGTTCCATTTTTTTGTCCAAGTGAAACATGGGAATCGTTTTTTTAAAAGTTTTCAGACCACAAAAATCCACTTTAATTGATTTCTATTCGTTTTCCTTAGATGCGGGCTGGTTCTTCATTGAAAAAAATTGAGAAATCACAGATTCAAATTGAACCCAGCTAAAACAAAATTTAAGGTTGCATATGATCAAGCTGCGATTTTAAGTAAACTTTTTAAATTCTTCCGGAGATGTTTGGTGTTTGACTGAAGTCATTTGAACAAAAGTATTAGCTATCACATATGCACACAATTTTGACTGAAGTTTTTAAAAAGTGAGTCGTTCGAGATATCATGAAAAAAAGTTTTGAATTATCAAACAGTATTTGAATGTGATCTTTCTCTTCAATTTGTCATAATATTTCAAAGTCAATACATTTTCAATATTTGAAGCACCAGGCACCAGATTACGACGATTATTTTTTCTAAATCAATTTCAAATTAAAATTTTCATATCAAATTTCTCAAAAAAAAGCATAATGTGAGACTCTTTTGCTCACACTTACTATCAAGTATAAAATGATGTAATTTGCTTCTATTAAAATGATGATTGGAGCTATTGGTATTGGTGAGCCGCATTTCATTTTGGAATGATTGTTGGCAGGGCAGTAAAAGAAAATTATAAACAAGGTCGGAACAATTTGTTACACATCGGCATCCGTAAATTTTCACAAAAACGACAAATTGAAGTATTATTTTTTAAAATTTTAGCTCAAAACATCAATTTGTTGAAATTTGCATACGAATTTTAGTCTGAAAGACTTAAGTCTAATAAAATATCGCATGTTTTCTATGATATTTTGGTTATTTGAGCTTTTTGAAAGCTCTCTTCCTCGGTGTTTTGTTGAACATTTTGACCAAATTGTCTAATTTAGCGTCAAATAGCTGTCAATTCTGCGAAGTTAGGTATATTTATTAGCCTGCTCTACTGCTAATACTACGTGGGTCGACGTTTTGGTCCATTGAACCAATTACTTTTCATACGAATATTTCGGTTTGTTAGTCTAGTTTTTCAAAACATTTTCGTTTAAATACCAAAATAAACTTTGTCTCACGAAAACCTTAATTACATGAAAAATATTACAATCGCTATTTTACAAAACTTTGAAAGTTCAAAACCAAAGCAAGCAAATTTGCTGATATCTACCTTTTCTAGTGTTCAAGACTATTTCAGACTAAACCTGCGAATGATAGTTCAATTATCAAGTCTACGGATCTATTATTAACAATCATTTCCTAGTTTCCCCGATTTTAATTACCATTCATACCTTGTATAGGTTCAAAATAGGATCTTACCCCCAATGATTTTCACTGAAATATCTCTGAAAAGTCTGAAAAGTTTATGAAAATGTGTAAATTATGACCTAAAGACACAATTTGAGAGATTCAAAACTGCGTTTGAAGTTTAAGAAACAAACGTGCAAAATAAACAACAAAATTCCGGCGCAGTAATTCCCTAAATTCCGCTTATTTTTCTGTTAATTCTTGTCATAAATAGCCCAGATCCTCAATTAAACGGTTTACTTTTGTTAACAGCTTTGGGTAACCCTGTGATTTATTTGGATTAATGTATACCCAGTAAGCAGACAATCGCGAAAGCCAAAACTTTCCTAGAAAACATTAATTTTTACTCTCATACCTTAATAGCATTCTCGAAAGATTTAGTTTCTCGGAGTTCTAAACTTGCTGAAAAAATTTACAAAAGAAGAAAGCCCACAAAATAACATTTAACCTGCCTACTCCCATAATTAACTGAAATGTTTAATAATAAAGTCGTTAGAAAAAAAACAGATCTAATAAAAAATTAATATTCAAAAAAAGTTTTATAATAATATTCTTTCTCTGACAGTTCAATAATTATCATTAAAAGCCGCTATTTTTTCATCCTAACGTGAAGTTACTTGTTCTTTTTCTCCAAATTACGCATTTTGACCATTTTGACAGTGTTATCTTTTTTGGAAAATTCTGCTGTTCCAACTGACTGCTGTAACTAAATAGTACCTTCTTCATACAAAAGTTTAAAGCAGAACCCCGAATTTACAATGAACTGAAGCGTAAAAAACGGACATGTTTCATTCTTAATACCTATACGCTTATAAGCCATACTACGTCCACTTAAAACCAGGGGGTATGTTATCTCTCTTTTTATTTGTTATTCGTAAGGGTAAGAATGTAAGGAGACGATATTGTGGCACGTTTGTTGTCGCGACGCTTCACTTGTTGTTCCGGAAGATTTCAACCCCGTCCTGCCCTTTGTTTATTACCGATGGGACAGTGCGCTGAACAGAAGCTTCAATCAGCCAAACAAATTCAGAAAATTCTCAAAACTTATTAACTTTCAAATTATGATAACAATTTTTATATAGATAGTTCTTTTAAAAAGTAATTATGAAATATGCGTCACGAGGATTGATCATACGCTGAGCGGAAGTAAACAATTATACTAGCAAATTTTCCGAAACTTTTTGATATTTTTTGAAAAACATAAGTTTTTTTTTGCTGATTTCGTTTTTCGGTGGATCGGTTTTTCTGCTTAATGGTATATGTAGCAATATTGAGTTCTTTATGAGGAAGACTCTAAAATGTCTGCTCGTTAAAATGGTCGTAAATTAAACACAGATGGTAAAACTGGTTAAGTGGGTAACTTATTATCATCGGGTCTAGAAATGCAGTTGAAGTTATTATAGCCGGCTGCTGTTTGAAGACAGAATTTCAATGCAGTTGTTTTGAAGAAGCCGCAGATTTCCGTACATTAGAGAATTCAGCGTTATTTAAAGTTTTTAAAAATTTTTATTGCCTAATTTAAAAAATAACTTATTTTAGTACATATTATTTTAGTACAAATTTAGCTCAAAATGAAATTTTGCTGCTAGATAACCGTTTCGAAGTTAAATCTACCAGCAAAAAACGCACCTAATAAACAGTTTTGCAAAATTCAAATTTTGAAAATAACAAACTTAGTTAATTATATAAACAATATTCCAAAGTGTTATGCTTTAGAAATATATTTAGAAGAATTCTAAAAATCATACATGTTTTACAGTTAGATTTGTTACCCCCACTACCATGGTTTACACTTTATGTTAGCAGAATGACGTCACGGCCTGAAAGTACCCCCAGAAGGCCAACTGGCAGAACTTCATCTCAAACCGTCGCACCTAGCCGAAAATGTATCCTATCCAGTGTCTTATTACTTCTTATTAACCTGGACAGTATCACATGTTTAACCCGCATCAATATTGGGCTTCTGCTTCATGACCAGTCGCTTTGGAATGTGGCCAATGACAGTTTCTCAGATAAGGATTCGCCCGATTTGGAGTACAAGACTCTTTATAAGCCAGTTATGTCGAACCCTATCAATGCTGCCCTAGATTTGTGCGAACAGCTAGTGACCAAACAGGCAAGTTTTTAAAGTAATGTTCATCACGGTTTAAAATGCAATCATCATACATTTTTTCCATACTATGGACTATGGACTATTTGTCATAGGTCTAAAAAATTGTGTACAAATAGTAAAACTGGCATTTTTATGAAGTATGGAATTGTATGACTTGCTTGCTCCATAAAAACAATTTTTTAATTTTGAAATTTGATGCCAAAAATTTGTGCTCTTAACAGAACGCAATATACAAAAACAAGGTTAGTTAGAAATTATGAGTAACAAGGGCACTCAGGTTTTGTCGTAAAAATTGCTTCCGTTATATTATAACAGTTTTAATAGCCTTATAGTACCCGGGTCGACCCCCTACAACTGCACACCCTAAATTTTTTGTCTGATTGACGGTTTTCATGCTTTTGGCTTATCAAAAAAACTATCATTGTAAATAATAACAGGCCGCTACTTTCACTTACAGTGTAGAAATTTTATAACCTCGCGAAAAAATGTTGCGCTTTTGTACGTAACTCTGTGTCGAAGTGTTAATATTATTTTACATGGCAAATCACCAATGCAACTTATTTGTGCGATTGTTGCCAGTTAACCTCTGGACTTTCTTCTATGAAAAAGCTTTTGGTTCTTATCTTTTTAGGCAAGGCACAAATCTTCAAAGCGTAACTCAAAACATTTTTGGATTCCCAAATAAGGAAAAACGCTAGTTAAACAACTTTTTTGAAACAAAAACTGATTGTCATAAGACTTTCATGTATGAAAAAATGCTTGTCATATGGACTTCAATAAATTTTTTGTACTTATTAACTTGTAGGAAGTTCAGTAGCGGATTTAGGGGGGGGGGGGGGAGGATGGACGCCCCTCCCTCAAGGATTCCACCCCCTGTCGACCCAAAGGGTCCACCCTTTGAACTATTTTGAGATATCTATTTTTGGTGAGGTCCCTAAAATTTTTCTAAAAGCGCCTTTGGTGCCAATAAATACTAATTTTTGAGGGGGGAGCGCGCGCCGGAAAAACGCAGTTTTTTGTTACAAAATTTTCCAAAAAGTGCCTAAAATGCCTTTTTTGGCCTATTTGTTCAAAAAGTTGCCTGTGGCCCAGAAAGTTTGACCGAAACAGGGTGTTTTTAATGCTTTGGGAGAGCTCGGAAAAAACCAAATTAATTGACCTAAGAAAAGGTCGACAACTTTTTCGAAATTTTTTTGAAAATGTGCCCCCCTCGAGAAAATTCTAGATCCGCCTCTGAGGAGGTTGTAGGATGAAAAAATTTTCATGATGAAAATTATATGATAAGAAGTTTTGTTAAGACCGGGTAAGTTTAGTTTTTTTTCTCCTGGATTGTTATGATTACAATTAAAATAAACAGCCTATAAACAGCCAATTTGTTTTTCTAGTCAATTTTTTCGAAAAACATTTGCCTGTTCTACTGCGACTGTCAAACAATTCTAAGTTGTAGTTTTTGTTCATTCCTTTTATCATACCGCACAGATAAATTAATTTGAAAAAAATGTGTTTTTCTTTCTTTCAAACTAATGTCGGAGCATTCTGTGCTAGTTGCACAGTAAACGGCTATCTTTTTTTTGCTCTTGGATTCAAGCACAGTAATCCTGGATAATACCCGAAAAACAAATCTGTAATTTCATGGAAAACCTCCTAATTAGCTGATTTATTTAAACAAAAACTAACTCAGATGGCTGGTAAAACAAACTTCAATTGGTGCACAGAATTTGCATGAGGTTTTAGTAGCCGAAGAAAATTAACTGCTATTGATCAGAAACTACAAATTAGGTTTCCAATAAACGCATAAATCAAATTGAAAGGAATGAGTTTTTTGTCAATTTTGAGGATCTGGACAAGGATATCGGTAGAAAATTTTTAAACTGAATGGAAAAAAAATGTTTTTGAAAAACGTTTATTTGAGTACGAAATGATTTTACGTCAAAAAAAGACAATTTTTTACTAACAAATGCAAACGTTCAAATTCTATAGTATTGGTTTCATTTAGCATTTTTTCACACAAAATTGTAGGACGTTTTTTGGAATTTTTTAATCCAAAAACAATTTGACTATCATTACTTGAAACTTTTTGCTGCATTTTCAAAAATAATTTACACTGTTTTTGGTTTGTGTAATCGAAAACACTTTTCAAAAACTTTTATACGATTCTCATTCAAGGAGATTGTTATCTAAACAATTTTCTATGAGCTGTAAATATGAAGCTCCATTTTTGCTCTTTGGAGGTGATCGGGTAAAAAGCTTCCCTTTAGAACTTTTGGACCATTTCATTTATTTGCCCTAACTTAACAAGACATAATTCACAATGTGTAGTTTATTGTGAATACTAAAAGGGTAGCATTTCATATCGAGTCAGTTGTCCGTTAATTACTGGTTATTTAGTCAAAAATTTTAGCCAAAAATTTAGCTCGATAGAGTAAGGTCTAAAATCCTTTTGGAGATGAAGCGTTTTGTTCCTACTTTCGAAGCAAGTTACTATTATGTGTGCTTGAGATGGATTTTGTGAACAATTTTCTCAAAAAAAAGTTGTATGAAGGTTGAACCTGAAATGAACCTAGAATCTCCGGATGCCTAGTTTAATTTGTAATAGTTTCAATACACAAAGTATTATGCGAGGCCAACTTTTCCGCACTCATATTGAATAGAGGGAAACTGATCATACTAATTCAAATCGAAATTTATCGTATTCAGTCCAATTTTATAGTTTATCAAATTTTATACCTAACAAAACTTATTTGAGACCTGTAAAGACTGTACAGAGGGAGTCGGAACATTCACCGTTTTGTCGAAATATACGAGTGAAAGAGTGAAAGAGAAAAAATAGGCTAAGTTGCCCGCTTTTGGAATAGATTAGGGTATGCTAAATAAATCAGATTTGATCAAAAAATTTTCAAGTATCCCATGTGAGTAGAGTGCCAATCTGTCTGCCATTACTTTCTAGCGTAATTTAACAACTAGATGGACAAATTTTAGAAAAAAAATACAGTAGATGCTTCTATGAAACAACAAATTTTTTGTACTGTCAGAAAAAATGCAGAAAAATCAACGTATATTCTTAGGTCATTTCTACACCATTTGATTGATCATTTTTAGCCAAATACTGAATTATTTTTAAAAAAATTGTCAGAATCGCAATATAACTCAATACCCTGTTTTTATTGCTTGATTTTTTTTATCAGTTTGCAATTGAGTTTGCAAAAACTGCCAAATTAGCTCGAAAAAACTTTAATTGTCGAAAGATTTACTAAGGTTTGGGGTGAATTTTTAATTCAGTTTGCTATTCAGTTGTCCAGACGTCGAAATGCAAAAGATGTTTCACCTACGATCACTTTTTGCCAAAAAATGGAGACTTGAAAATCGCCGCTATTTGGCGACCTCATTTGGTCTTATTATTAGGATACCAGACGCTAAATAAATCCACTTGTACTCAACATAGCGTGTGGGGTGATAAATTGAAGAAAAAACGAACTTTTTAAAATTATTTTATCAATTTTCAACCTTTTTCCAAACTTTTTAAATGGCCTCAAGGTATGGTATAAACTTTCAGGGCTTCGCCCTGATATACGACCCTTCTTTTTTTCTCTTCACATACGAGCTAGATGGGTTCCATTCGCATAATTCCATCCACATAAGAAATGGACACGGCTGATTTCTATTTCTTAACTGAATTAACAAAGGATTGCAAAAAAGACTACAATAGGATTGCTTAACATAGTCTTGTTTTTTTTTCTTTTTTCCTTTTCCTTTTCGACCAAGCAGCCTAATTATTGGTTTATTATCTTCACGCTCAAATTAAACCTAATTAGCACAAACTACACTCAATTTCTCTGTGGCATTATATTGAAGTGCAACCGTCTCTTCTACCGTCATAATTCAATTTCATCCTTCATTCTTTATTTCCCAGTAGTCAAACTATCTCCAGGCTTTTGTGGCGATTCTCATTTAATTTAATTACTTTTTGACCCGTAGCTGAAAATGGTATCAGGCAGTTTTGCAATATAAAATTCCAAACATCACCTTATTTGTTTGCTGTTTGAATATTTAATGGATAATTTAGAATTCCTTTTGTAGATATTTCTCAAATGAAAATATTGGATCCATTTTGCACAAAAAAAATATGGATCATCCCGACGTGATCTGAATAAAATAGTAATAAAGCATATTGAAGTTTTTAAGTTTTCTTTTCTTTCTGTAAAAGATGAAATAGTTTGAGAGGCTATTTTTAGAGACTCTAAATGTGTAAGATGATATCAAATTGGACTTGATATGCGTAGACTGTTTGCAATCGTATCAATTCCGTTTTTTGTTTTTAGTATTTTTTCAAAGTGAAAAAAATGAGAGTGGTTTGAACAAGGAAGATTTCGCGTGCTGAGTGTAATTAGATTATGACTTGGTTGTCAGATCAAATTAGGCCAACTTCACTTGTGACGGGGAGCGAGGGGACTAAAAAGAGAGAAGGATAATTAGAGATGTATTTGAGAGTCAACTTCAAAATCAGAGCAAAAGCTGGTTGTTATTTAAATGCATTGTAAGGCATTGCCAGCCAAAAGATATTTTAGTTCTTTTTGCATATAAGTTTCAAAATTGTAAAGGCCATTTAATGAAAGAGCGTCAGTGAAAACCATCCAGTAAAATCACCAAAAAATACAGAAAAAATCTCAAATACTGGTTCTGGTGCAATTGGTTTTTCAGAATATCTCAAAATGCATTTTTCAGAATTTTTCGAGCCATGTTCGCAACTTTTACTTCATAAAGCTGATGAGGCGCATGATTTTTTTGCGGGAACTAGAACTTTAAACTTTTCTGAAGATGCTGGGCACTGCACTAATACTTACTTATTTTGAAGTGAGCGCTCAAGAATTGTAAAAGGCTCTTATAAACATTTAGTTGAAATGAAGGATTATGCAAAATCTTTGACTCGCAGACTTTTATTCCTTCTCTGTTCCGGCTGCTCTCCCAAATCACTTCAAAAACCCTGTTTTTTGCCATTTTTTTGCGCCGCAGATAATTTTTTTTGAAAAACAGGCCAAAAAAGAACAGTTTTGACCTAGAAAATTTCAACCGAAAAAAAAGTTGTGTTTTTTCGGGGCGCATTCCTCCCTCTAAAATAGTATTTATTGGTGCCGAAGACGGCTTTAGAAATTTTTTCGGGTCAGTCAGCCAAAAATGGAGGTCTTAAATTAGTACCAAACGGGGGACACTTTGGGTAGTCAGGGTGTCGAATCCCTAACTAGACTCAGAAATCAGTGGTTTGTTATTGACACTCCGTGTGGTGAAAAGTGAACTTTGATAGCCTTATTGAGTTGAATAATTTAAAAAATTTTAGTGATGAAGAAAAAAATCATCATTCATTCTAACACAAATAATTATGTGATGCATGTTAAAGGGTCGTCAAATTATTCAAAATTTTGTTCCGTTTCCACTAGTTGTGTTCATTTTTTGCTTTATCAATTGTTGTTTCGTTTTTTTTGTTCCACTCAACGAACTTTAATCAATAAATTTAAATAAACCGGAGAAAACGCGTTAAACTTGAGATTTTAAACGCGTTTTTCTCAAATTGAGTTGAGTTTAAGTGAAAATTTATGAAGACAAAACTTGCTTAAAATTTTGGCAGAAATAATAGGGTGCAACTTATTTTGCGAAATTTGGGCCCAAAATTTTACCCCAAAAATGGGTCATTTTGGCTTTTCTTTGTTAAAAAAAATTACGCCAAAAAATCCAGTCGATCACAGACATAATTTTATCAAAGTTAGCCCCTCACTCATCTCAACAAACTCTAAGAAGAGTATATTCTCCAAAACCTTGGATAAGTTAATTTATTTTTGTTTGATCGACAAAAAAGGTCGTTTTTACTATATAAAACATCAATTTTTTTTTATTTAAAACGTTTTGCGAATTTTTTGGGAGAATTTTTTTTTTCTCAAAATTAATTGGGCTACGTTGGGGGCTAACTTTGATATAATTATGTCTGTGATCGACTGGGTATTTTTGGCGTAATTTTTGATTAACTAAGAAAAGCCAAAATGACCAATTTTTGGGTAAAATTTTGGGCCCGAATTTCGCAAAACAAATTACGCCATATCAATTCTGTCAAAGTTTCAAGCAGTTTGTCATCATGAGTCTTACCTAAACTCAACTCAATTTGAGAAAAACGCGTTTTAGATTTCAAGTTTAGCTCGTTTTGTCCGGTTAATTTAAATTAGCACTGTATTTAAGGCATCCTTTAAAAATTACATCCGGATTTTGAACAAAATATTTTTAAATGACAGCCTGAAATACAAATAGTTTTACAAGTGAAAACGGTTTTTTGGGTTTCACACAGTAGACAATATATTTAAATCTGAGCAGACAGCCTTATTTGAGGCTAATCAAGACAACCATGTTTAAGTCTGAGACACCTGATAACAGGCAAATATTGGTTTTATAGTGCTCTTTCAATGAGATATTTTTGTTCTTCAAGACAATTTATTAATAAAATTTGAATTGCAAAAAGAAAATGACAAAGTTTCATTGCACGATGCGCATGACATTCTTGCTATGGGGTTCTCTAGCAGATGCTATGTGGCAAAAACTGGTCAAGTTTATACGTGCAAGGTTTTTATTTTTTCATGATTACTTGTTAAAAAACTGGAAAGAAAATATGTAATTTAAATTAGGATAACAGTTTTTCATAAATTTTTAACGCAAAAAAATAGAGTGAAGTAAATTTGAGGCGTCTGCTGACTTCTTACTGTCAATTCTTACAGTCAATTCAAGCCAGTAATTGAGTCTTTTCGTTTTTCAGGTTGTTATTTGAGTTTTTGTTTATTTTTCCTCTTTTAACGCTGTGCTAAAGGCAATTTTGACAAACTCAACTTTAATTTTTTTGTACTCACTGAGTTAAGAAGGTTTGAAAATACCAAATAGCCTCACATCTAGCAGACGGTTTCAATAATATAAATTTTATTTTATGGTATTTTCATTTTGATCAAACAGTTGTAATTGAGGCCAAAAAAATTGTTTCTTCGTGCGTAATGAAAAACTGAAAAAGTTTGCAGAGAAAAAAACTGCGTTATTTTTTTTCATTTTTTTTCATTTTTATTTTCGACAAAAAAATTCGAAACAAGACTTTCATTATAATTTGCGGCAAGGCTACAAAATTATTGTTTACGCAATACGCAGCACTCTTGTAATCAACCAGCAAATGAATTTCTTTGATTTAAAAAAAAATAGAAAAACTGTTAGCCCAAATTTTAGTGATGAAGAAAAAAATCATCATTCATTCTAACACAAATAATTATGTGATGCATGTTAAAGGGTCGTCAAATTATTCAAAATTTTGTTCCGTTTCCACTAGTTGTGTTCATTTTTTGCTTTATCAATTGTTGTTTCGTTTTTTTTGTTCCACTCAACGAACTTTAATCAATAAATTTAAATAAACCGGAGAAAACGCGTTAAACTTGAGATTTTAAACGCGTTTTTCTCAAATTGAGTTGAGTTTAAGTGAAAATTTATGAAGACAAAACTTGCTTAAAATTTTGGCAGAAATAATAGGGTGCAACTTATTTTGCGAAATTTGGGCCCAAAATTTTACCCCAAAAATGGGTCATTTTGGCTTTTCTTTGTTAAAAAAAATTACGCCAAAAAATCCAGTCGATCACAGACATAATTTTATCAAAGTTAGCCCCTCACTCATCTCAACAAACTCTAAGAAGAGAATATTCTCCAAAACCTTGGATGAGTTAATTTATTTTTGTTTGATCGACAAAAAAGGTCGTTTTTACTATATAAAACATCAATTTTTTTTTATTTAAAACGTTTTGCGAATTTTTTGGGAGAATTTTTTTTTCTCAAAATTAATTGGGCTACGTTGGGGGCTAACTTTGATATAATTATGTCTGTGATCGACTGGGTATTTTTGGCGTAATTTTTGATTAACTAAGAAAAGCCAAAATGACCAATTTTTGGGTAAAATTTTGGGCCCGAATTTCGCAAAACAAATTACGCCATATCAATTCTGTCAAAGTTTCAAGCAGTTTGTCATCATGAGTCTTACCTAAACTCAACTCAATTTGAGAAAAACGCGTTTTAGATTTCAAGTTTAGCTCGTTTTGTCCGGTTAATTTAAATTAGCACTGTATTTAAGGCCTCCTTTAAAAATTACATCCGGATTTTGAACAAAATATTTTTAAATGACAGCCTGAAATACAAATAGTTTTACAAGTGAAAACGGTTTTTTGGGTTTCACACAGTAGACAATATATTTAAATCTGAGCAGACAGCCTTATTTGAGGCTAATCAAGACAACCATGTTTAAGTCTGAGACACCTGATAACAGGCAAATATTGGTTTTATAGTGCTCTTTCAATGAGATATTTTTGTTCTTCAAGACAATTTATTAATAAAATTTGAATTGCAAAAAGAAAATGACAAAGTTTCATTGCACGATGCGCATGACATTTTTGCTATGGGGTTCTCTAGCAGATGCTATGTGGCAAAAACTGGTCAAGTTTATACGTGCAAGGTTTTTATTTTTTCATGATTACTTGTTAAAAAACTGGAAAGAAAATATGTAATTTAAATTAGGATAACAGTTTTTCATAAATTTTTAACGCAAAAAAATAGAGTGAAGTAAATTTGAGGCGTCTGCTGACTTCTTACTGTCAATTCTTACAGTCAATTCAAGCCAGTAATTGAGTCTTTTCGTTTTTCAGGTTGTTATTTGAGTTTTTGTTTATTTTTCCTCTTTTAACGCTGTGCTAAAGGCAATTTTGACAAACTCAACTTTAATTTTTTTGTACTCACTGAGTTAAGAAGGTTTGAAAATACCAAATAGCCTCACATCTAGCAGACGGTTTCAATAATATAAATTTTATTTTATGGTATTTTCATTTTGATCAAACAGTTGTAATTGAGGCCAAAAAAATTGTTTCTTCGTGCGTAATGAAAAACTGAAAAAGTTTGCAGAGAAAAAAACTGCGTTATTTTTTTTCATTTTTTTTCATTTTTATTTTCGACAAAAAAATTCGAAACAAGACTTTCATTATAATTTGCGGCAAGGCTACAAAATTATTGTTTACGCAATACGCAGCACTCTTGTAATCAACCAGCAAATGAATTTCTTTGATTTAAAAAAAAATAGAAAAACTGTTAGCCCAATTGTTTAAAATGAAATTTCAGTTTTGTTTTTGGCAAAAAAAACACTTCTAGGCATAATTTCTATCGTTATTCATTCTTCCTTATATCACCAAATCCAGGTTACCTAAAATGCCCAAACTTACCGAGACTATCAATCTGAAGTTGTTGAAGCCCGAATTGCCTTTGCTTAAGTTTTGACACGTGCACTCCTATGGTATATCTTGCAAGCGTTGCAGTCAATAACCAACAGCTAAATATTGCATCGAGAAGTTTTATGACACACATTGCGACACGCATCGCCGAGGTGTGAACAAATTTGAGCTGTTGCTTATCTGGTATAAACACATGTACAAAAGTTGAAAAAAAAGTAAATTCATTTGAAAAAGTTTTCACGTTAACAGACAATTTTTTCTTTCTATTTCATTTTGGTTGATTACTCTAAGAAAGATTTTGCACAAGTGTTTCAAGTATTGCGGAATATATTTGATTATAGTAACTGATTCTTTGAGATAAGTTTTCTTCAGTCACATGATAAAACAGCCCAGCTGATGTACTCCATAACATAACCCTGGTTCGTTTCAGGTGGCTGTTCTGATCATCACCCACCCTCCTGGATCTCCAGATGTGCTGCCAGTGTCCATAGCCTACACGTGTTCCTTCTACAGACTGCCCATCATATCCATACACACCAGGGACACCATTTTCTCAGAGAAGGCAAGTTGAGCCATTCATTTTGATATGGTCATAGTTCATGGTTGTCGTAAGCCATCACCATTTCATGACGTGAACCGAACATCATGGCTGTTGTCATAAATTATTAATGGTACATAACGTTAGCTCAGGTCTGTTAATATCTCCTTAACGACTGTTAAGTTCTTTGTACAGTGCCAGGTTTCAAATTAAGTGCTGTTAACGGCTCCGGAATTAGAAAAAAAAGTGGTGCATTCCATTTTGCGGATTCCAGAACTGATTTTTTTCAGAAATCAGTTCTGAAATCCTCTAATCCACTAATACCGTAAACATTGTTGTACTGGCGCAAAACTCGCACTTTTAAAAGTTCAATCCATTTTAGCAATTTGCTCCGTTGATCATTTATGGGTTGCTTTGAAAAAAAATTGCTAAATTCCAGAATATCCATCCGATGTTTCTTCGCATGGTCACTCCACTGGACGCCGAGCCAGCAGTGTGGATGGACCTGATGATCCATTACAAGTGGAGGAAGGCCATAATTCTAGTGGCGGATGACCACAACGGGAACAGTGTCTACGAGGCAGCCATTAACCAAGCTACACAAAAGAACATTCAGGTATGGCAACCAATAGGACTGCGGGCCTTTCTCAAGCGCGAAGCGCAGATAGACCAAAAACTTTGTCAGCCAATTTCAATAAATTTTTAATAAATTCAATAAAAAGACTGTTTGTTAATCAGTGCGCAAAAAAACTGAGTGTTACGACTGCACTTTTAGGCAAACTGTAATTTTTCTAACTGATAATTTGACGGAATAATAATAAGAAAAGAAAAAAAAGTTTTTTTTTTAACTTCAAACTATCCCTGACACGCGTTTTAACTTCAAATTATCCCTGAATGTTCCAACTGCATTTTAAGCTCAATAGACTAGTGTTCGCTTTTAAAAATTGACAAAAGTCACAAAAAAAAACATTTTTATATTTTTTTCTCAAAAACCATCCCCTCAAAAGCCATGTAAAGTACAAAGTGATAAATTTTGCATAAGAAAAAAATATTGAAAAGACCAAAAACATGCCTCAATTCAAATTGCAACGATTCTTAAGACGGAAGAAAACTCCGCTTACGCATTAATAGCACGAAATATGTCGCGCGTTGGTTTTGCCAAATTAGCCAAACTGGCAATCTTTAAGCTCCTATAAGGTTGCAAAAAAAGTTTTAAAGGTGAACACTTTTTTTGCATTTGAGTTTCAGGCAATGATACACTTCAGCTGGTATAGCTTTTAAATTTTTCTGTCGAAAACGCTTTGCTAAAAAGTCGAAAAATTCGCTTAAAGCCTAAATTCACTTAGTTAAAAAACACGTAAGGCCTAAATATTCCACTTTTTTTCAAAAGTCGGAACCATTAAAGGATCTACTTAACAATTGCCGCCCCTATTGTATCTACTAAATATTTATTTACCCCTGTTAATAAAACCAGTGAATAAGCACTTGATCGTTTTATATAAAATTCGAATTTTGCTGCATTCTCATTGGTCGAAAATTCGGCTAACCTAACCTACTTAACAGTTGCCTCCCCCTCGATTTCTTGTAAAGGGGGCAATGGTTAATTAGATCACCATCAAGCGATAAAATCAGTCAGAGTCAGTTGTGGAGAGATTTAAGAGCAAACTGTTGTTAAATTTATGCTAAATTTTTATCTATACCCGTACTCAGCGAAGACAGTTTTTCTAGATGGAAATGTTATATAGATAACCTAGCCAAATTTTGTTGTATTTTCTGTACAGGAATAATCTATTTTTTTCTTAGCTTAGAAAAAAAAAGAATATCGGCAAAGAAATAATCAGAAATCAGTTCACTACTCAACCGCAACGAGATAAACATGCTTCGAGTATACACAATAGCTGTAGCAATACAATGCAAATTAACACTTGCACTTATTATCTTACATTATCAGGTCATGTGGCCCAGCGGTTAGTACAACGGCCTATGAATTCGCAGGGCGGAGACATTTTCTAGCTAGAAATAGCCTAGATTTAGCTACTTTCTGATCAGAAATAAGATGAGAAATAAAAATTTTCAAGAAAAAACCTGCTTTATTTAAACATGGATATAAAGTATTTCAGGTCAGAAATAAAGAATTTTCTCGATACGGGTAGTTATAATATTTAGTCATGAACTTTTCGTAGCGGAGCTTTTTCCAATTCCCGCCATTGTTAAAAATATATTTAACAATCGCGCAAAAAATCAGAGCCAAATGTTCATAACTAAATAAAGCTATAGATATTTGGAAAATTTACATGAATGTAACTTTTTAGCTTGCTGTTTTATTTGATATTCTAACATTTTTACAGACTTATGTTATTGAAACAGGAGAAACTAAACAGTCGAAGTATACTTAATTTTCTTTTTATTAATCAAAAAACAGAAACGCTTCATTCATGAGAAATCGAAAATTGTAAATGAAGTATATGTACATTGCTGGAAACAAAAAGAAAAAATTAGAATGAAATGTTCTTATAACTTAACATAAAATAAATTTTAAAAAAATATCGCTGTTCGTCAATATATATTTAAATTTTTTCCACGTAATCTTTTCATAAGCTGCTGTTGTTTTATCTCGAAGGAAAGTTATCAAACATCTGTAGTAAACAACTGTATAGTCAGTAGCTGTGCAACTATCACAGTAAGTGTCCTTCATGGTGAATTGTTTAAGCAGTATTAATAAATACAACTTCATTTAGAAATCGTTGTCGTATAGCGGAGTCATACTGTAACAGTACCGGATATATTACTTTTTGGCTTTGAATTTTTAGGAGGGCTTAAAAATTGTCGAAAAAATTTTGAAACTTTTCTTCTCCCCCTTGCAAAAATTCTAGATCTGCTCACTGCTAGACATTCCATCAGAAATTCTGTACTCTCCTTCAGGTTCATCAAAATAATGTAAAAACTTAGAAAGGCTGACGGCTTATCAAATTGTTATGTCACCGAAAATATCATTATAGTAATTTTGACGGCTTCTTTGTTTAAACTATTTAGTATATAGTATCGATTAATCGACGTCATAAATATACGAATAGGGAAGTATAACTTGTCAGATTTGTTTATAATTTCTTCCGGCTCACTGAAATGGAAAGTGTTAACAGTTGACCTTAAAAACCTTCCCAAGAAATCTTGAATAAAAACCTGAAATGACATATAGTTTGAGACGAATGCAGCAAGTGATGCCCTAACACAAATCGCTTTTTTAAAACATAGTGGCCTCTTTCGCCTCAGTTTTCTTACGGTGCTTTGGTTGTGAGATACCAAGGGCAAAAGTGTGAGGGGCAAATCAGAATAGCTGGTCGTATGCTCTACTAGTATCACACAAAATTCCCTTCGCTTTGTTCACTTTTGCGAAAAAAAATATCAGAAGAAAATGATTTAAAAAGTTGTAGCATATGTGTTCGCGCGCGTGGGGGTGATATGGTGATGTTAAACTTCTTTTTTATTTACATTCAGTTTCAATAATTTAAGAGTCCCCACAAGTTTTTTTGACTATCATTTTGAAAATTAAAGCTGCGACTAATTTCAATGAAGCAAAAAATGATCAGTTCATCTAATCATTGACCTAATTTATAAAAAAAAAATTATAGAGCGAAATTTTTAATTCTCGGCATTGAAAATTTTTTCTAGAATTTAGCAGCTGCTAAAATCAGCAGCTCATTGCGACTAAAAAGGGCTTCAATTATAAACTTCGGGAAAAGTTTGACCTTAAATTTGGAAAGTTTTGACCGAAAAGTGGAGTTTTTTTTGGAGCGCTCCTCCTCAAAACTAGTGTATATTGGAACCAAGTCGCCAGAAGAAAAATTTTAGGGTTAGTCATATAATAGTATAACGTAAAAAGGCATAAAATATATCGCGCGTTAATTGTCCCAAAATGACAATCTATAAACCTGCATAACTCAGCAAAAAACGATCACATGTAAAATATTATCTTACATATGAGCTCAAATAAACAATACTTTTTGAATGATAAAAGAATGCTTGATTAAAAGTCAAAATTTGTCTGGAAAAAGACCACCCTGAGCACAAATATCATTTGTCGGAAGTAGTCGGAACAACAACTTGGTATTTAAAATGAGTTAAGTTCCGCTAAATAGGCATGTAGCATAGTCTTAAGGCTTACACGCTTTCAGATTGTCAGGTTGTGCTTCACTCACCTGTCATACCAATGAAACTTGAGCGCGAGTTTTCGATTAAATTTTAGCTTGAAGGCTATCAGATTGTGGCCGATTTAAGTTTCAAAAACGGCTTCTTGTCTGGTTCCGCGAAGTTTAAGGCGCAGAAAACAGCCTTCAATTGTGAAAAAAACAGCTCCAAAAAATGTAAAATTATGGACTCCGACAATCTTTAGACAGGCTTCTTAGCAGATTTTGGGGGTGTTTGTAGCTGAAGCCCCCACCCCCCCCTCCTCAAGGGTTTGACTCCAAGCGGACCCAAGAGGTCCCCCTCTCATGCTAGCTTATGACTACATTTTTTGGCTGAACAAACCAAGAATTCTTTAAAGACGCCGTCGGCACCAATATAGAGTAAATTTGAAAGGCGCGCGCGCCAAAAAAAACGCAGTTTTTATTATCAAACTTTTCCTTTTGTAGTTTGCTGCGGAGCAGAAAAAGGTCAAAATAGGGTCTTTATAGTTATTTGGTATCAACAAAAGGGTCGCCAAAATTTTCCTAGATACGCCCATGAATAGATCTTTCGCAAATTGCAGAAACGAAATTATTATCATGAGTATTATTGTGCAAGTTCATTCACATTAATTTCAGCATTTTTTTGATGACTGAAAACAAAGAAAAGCATTTGCTTTTACTGTGTTTTAATCTTTTTAACGAAAAATCAGGTACCACAAAAACTCTTTCGGTCGTGATTCAATTGATGTAGTCATTCGTGAGCCGTCATTCGTCATTGAATTGATGTTCTGAACATTTTCTTCGGCGTTTAGAAAAAAAATCATTTAAAATTTTTTTCTCTCTAGACCAATTTAGAGTGAAGAGACACTCTTCATATGGATTCAGTGCAAGTGAAAGGTGTTTTTTGCACGTTAATGAAACCATTGCTCTAATGTTTTCTGTGCTACTTTTAAATCCTTCACGTCCTCTTCTCCTGTTCACTTTAAAAAAAAAGTTTTAAAACCGCCAATCATATATCATACCTATGGAACAACTAAAAAAAATTGTTAATGAACTAATCTATCCAGTTGGAAAAGTTTTCCAGTTGGTAAACTTTTTCCACTCTTAGACTGAAAAAGAAATAATGTTTGTTTGTGTTTTAGCTAATTGGGGACAAGTTCGGCTTCTATGACCCCGACCAGCCCAACGCACAAAACATCGTTAGCAGGATACTAGACGAGAAAGTTAACATTGTCCTCTTCTACGGATCGTAAGAGATTAAAACTACAATACAGATTACGCAATAATACCAATTCGGTTGGTCTTTTCTGTTATAAAGCCAAAATTTGAAGTTTTGTTAGATTTGTTAGTCGTTTATTATGCTTAAAACTGATGTTTGACATTGAACATAGCCAACAAGCAGTTGAAAAAAGGTTAATGAACGTAAGGACGCCGAAAAACAAGGAAAGATTTTTTGAAGACAATTTTAGAAATCCAGAGGAAATGTTCTTACACAAAAGCTCTTTGCATTTCAAGAACTTATATTATAAACCCTTTTCGCTGAAATAACCTTAACTTGAAAAAAACACTGGATCAATAGGTACTTTTTTGTGCCGCTGGTAAATCTAAAAAGCCAATTTTGAAAGAAAATAATTCGCGTTTCTCTACACTATTTCCACTTTCCTAAGAGCGTAATTAGCATTCATATTAGCAAGTGAAAATGAAATGAGCTTGAAAAGAAATCAGACGACAAACCTCAAGAAAAAACAAATTTGAGAGTAAACACTTCTATGATTTTTTCTTGAAAAAACACCAAATCTAAATAAGTGATAAACCACTTTGTTCATTAAAGCTTAAAAAAGAGGCATGCAAAATTCTTTCAAATTTTTATCCATTAGTTATAAATCTGTTGCAAAAATTCCAATTCTCGCAGAGAAAAGCTATGTTATCAAATCAATCAACTCGTACCTATGTTATACCGATGCTAATTTGTCGTACCATTTCTTTTTCAATTTTTGTGCACACCTTTTTCAGCTTGGACACCTTCCTATGCGATTCGAGTTTTTTCGTTGTTGCGTTCAAGCTCTATCAAATGAAGAATAAGCGACTATATCTGGAAAGAAATCATTTATTCGTTTTCGAGTCCGCAAACCCATGGCATCATTTAGTTAGTCACAAAGTTACTCTTTAACTAAACGTGTCACAATTATTACAAAAGTATTTAACTATTTTTCTCTGAGTTTTATCATATCTTTGACAACAAAAGTTCTTAGAAGCTTTGCGAATTCGAGCAACTTTTAAAGATTTTTATTCAATTTCGCATACAAAAAATGTTGACAAAAAAAACGAAGTCTGATCGTACCTGATTTTACGTGGAAAGTAAAAAAAAAAAACCAGAAGAATACAAAGTTTCTCCCCATTTTCAATGCTCGGATCAACAACTGCGGGTTATTGTGCACGTAGCACAGCTTCTGGGCGTGGCGTAAAATATAGATGTTAGAACTGCCGCTGATTTTAATTGTGGAAAAAGAAAATGATTAACAAATGTTTAAATTAATTTTATGAATGATGTTCTAAACAATTATAAAAAACATTAAAAAAAATTCAGAGTCTGGTACCCGATTCTAATCTTTGCATGCGGTGATCAAAAAGCTATTAAACATAACCAATTGATAGTTGAAAATGAATGAATCACCTCTGAAACAGGCAGATTAGTTCTCAAAAAACATCTAGTGTTATACTCATTGAAATGGAAAAACTTTTGTTAAATAAATATTATTTTTTAATGAAACTTGCTCATTTTGGGAAAACTGGATCACACTTGATTCCTGTGGGAAACTTTAAAAATTCATTTTCGTTGAACTTCATTTTCAAAACTAAAAGTGGAATTCACTATTTCGAACATTTTACCGTATGAATATGTTGCAGAAGTTCTAATTCTCTCGGGGACAAGCTATTTTATTAAATCACTCAACTCTTACCTTTGTTATGACGATGCTAGTTTGTCGTACCATTACTTTTCAATTTTTATGCACACCTTATTCAGCGTGGACACCTTCCTATCCGATTTGAGCTTTTTTTCGTTGTTGCGTTCAAGCTCTATCAAATGATGGGTACGCGACTAGATATGGAACATGGTTCTTCGTTGGATTTCGAGTCCGCAAACGGATGGCATCATTATGTTCTTCAAAAATTATTCGTTAAGCAAAAGTGTCTTAATTATTACAAAAAACTTTAAAAAATTTTCTTGTCAAGATACGAAAGAATCCAGATATAAATTGTTAAAAGCTTTGCGATTCGCTGCAATTTTTAAAGATTTTAATTCAATTATGAATACAAAACACCGCGGACATAAAGTTGTCAGGTTGTGGCGTAAAATATAGTTTTGAGATTTGCCGTTTTTATACTCGTTAAAAATTAAAATATATAACAAACATTTTAATAATTCTATGACGAATGTTGTAGAAATCTCAAAAAAAAATGAAAACAAAACTTCAGTCTAGTACCCGATTATTAACCTTGCGTGCGGTAATCAAAAAGCTATTAAACATAACCAACTGATAGTTGAAAAAAGAACATGAACTCTGAAAAAGACTGGTTAGTTTTCAAATAACATGTAGCGTTACACTCATTGAAATCGAAGAACATTTTGTTACGTAAATTTCGTTTTCAGATAAAAGTTACTCAGTTTGGTGAAATTGGATCATTTTGTATTTTGATTTGCTTGGAAAACTTTAAAACTCATTTTTGTTGAACTTCATTTTCGAAACTGAAATTAGAATACACCTTTTCGCACCCCAATATGAAGAAAAAAGGCAAACTAATCAAATCGACATCTATAAGTGTTGTTACTCCTTGACCGAAACTCTCCTTGACTTAATCAAAAGCTGAACAACAACTATTTTGCGACCAAGATTTCCAATTTTGTGCTGTATAAAAAAGACACCCGAGTCGATATGTTTTGAAATTGCTCAATGAAAAAGTTGACTGAATTGAAAAAATCAGAATTTTTCAAAAACTGGATTTTTTATTATAAAACCGCATCAAAAAACTTCAAAATAGTGTGTTAATCAAACAAATTTTAGCATTAGTTTTGAAATCAGGAAAATTTGAAAATAGTTTGAATGCTAGGTTTGGGCTCTCAGTGAGCTCTCAGTGGGCTCTTTATTCATCCCCGCCCCCATGGTACCTAGTAAGGAACCCCTCTCCCTTGTATAGAACTGATTTAACGGTTAAGCAAACGTGGATTTTGTACCTAGTAGCAAATCTCCCCCTTTTGCAAAGAGGGGCAATAGTTAAAGATACCCTGTTTCTGCCTTGAATAGATCTTCTTCGTCCAATAAGTTCTTCTCAGATGTGGCCTCTCTCAAACTGGGAGTGGGACATCTAGTCTGGATTGTGTCCAGCAGCTCACTGGATGCAGTACAGCAGCACGGTATCACAGGTATTTATACATAACTTAGTTCTCTTAATTTCACATAACTTAGTTGACTTTATTTCACATAACTTAATTCACACACTTAAAGTTTTAAAAAAAAAAGAGGAAGGTGAAGTATTACTGTGAAAACCTATGCAAGTAGTTTTCAAGTAAATTGCAGGTATACTCAATTGCACGCCATCATTACAAATAAGAGCAATCATAGTATTTAAAACTTTCAAAACTTTTTGAAAGCTGCCAAATTATGTAGCCAAAATTTGAAAAAGCTTATGGAAAACTTGTTTTTACGTCATTTAGTACTAATTGTAACTGCAATAATTCATTTCGCGGTAGTCTAGCATCTTTATTGCCTACAGAGGGTTGACAAAGAAAATTGAAATTGCTGTAAACCTGTAAATTGGTAAAACAATGATGCTAAAAAAATACTATTGTCACCGACAAACTACATATGCATCTTAGTGCGTGTCTATATTTTGGACCACTTCTGGTTAAACCAGACCTTCTTTTCTGCCAGGCGCCTTATCGGCCAGACAGATCCAGGGTATGAACTACAAGCTGCTGCTGCACGATGCCATCCGAGTGGTGACCAGTGCAGTGCCTCGGGCCATAGAGAACAATGGCCACAAGTGGGAGGAGCCTCTGAGTGAGTGCAGAGACAAGAAGGGCGGCTGGCAGATGGGCACACCACTCAAAAAGTCAGTGTAAATAATTACTCTAGAAATTGAATTAAAAAAATTGACTAGAATTTCTTCACTCAATGAAAAAGTTACAATTATGGAATTAATGCTCTTTTTAATGAATTCTAAAATTCGATTACAATTATTTTTGTTAACTCAAAATTTAGTGAAAGCAACTTATCTAAAACTTTGAATTCAATATTCTTGGATTTTGACCACACTCAAGTATAAAAAACAAAACTGCTCGTATATCAGGGAAAAGCCTTGTTTGTTCCGACTGCTCCTACTCTGTTCTCGGAAAACTTTTGCAAAATAAAATGTTGATAAAACAAATTTGAGATTGCCAATATCAAACTTAGAAAAAGCTGAAATTTAAGTCGAATTAAATGACCAAGTTTGCCTCAATTCAAATTGATTGCGGATAATTATGAGTTGGGATAATTTACAAGTAGCAAGTGTTAATCGAGCAGAGATGCCATCCACGTTTTATTATATTCTAAAGATTTCCAGACCAAAACCCATGCGCTTAATTTCATAATGATTCAAGTTTGAAATATTAAAATTTGCTCTAAAAACGTTTTTTGTATTTCTAAAAAGTTTTCTACAAGGGCAGCCACTTACTGTGCAAGTACCACAGAATGTTCCAAACAAAGTCTTTAAAAAAACAAAAAGGATCTTTCTAAAACTTAAGCATACTCGGCAGTCCTAATGAAATAGACAAATTGGAAAACAGCTTTTCTAGAACATTGAATAGAAAAATGAAAAAAAAATCGCCAAATGGCGCAAACAAACTTCAAAAACTAATTTTATTTGAGCCTATTTTAAGCCTGCTCGTTCACTTTTTTTGCTAGAAATTAGACCAATAAAAAAAAATTTCAGATCGACACTGAGGAAAATTTTTTAATTTATAGGTAGTTCGAATCACGACTGAAAGTGTTTTTATATGATATATAACTCGACACATTGCAATTGTTTTTTGTGAAATCTGATTTTGCGTAGAAAATAAAAAAAACGTAGAAACACGCCCGAATACAAGTTCCTTTATTGTTTCAATGGTCGGAACAAAAATTTTCCAGACAAGTATAAACGCACATTTCTAAATTAATGGATAAGCAGACTTAGTTGTGGATTTTGATTAAATTAATTGAAGAAAGTTATGAGAATAACAGCTTTTGATCTTTTATTGTGAATTATTTGATTCATTTTACATTCAAGTTTTCCTGGCTATGAAGAAGAGAAGCAATGTGCGTACTACTGACACATGATTGAAAATTGTTCTAAAAATTTCGAATTTTGAATGAAAGTTTAAAAATTCTGGGTTTCATGTTCCAGCCATTGAAATTAGGGAGGACTTTCCGTTTGGGTGCTTTATTTTTTTTTTTTTTTTGTTTTCCATGCAAAATTCCAGTGTTTATTTTTGGTTACCACAAATAATGATCGGAATGGTTGGAATGATATATCATTTAAAAGCCTTTTCAGTTGTGATTCGAACGACATTTAAAATTTTCAAAAAGTTTTCTCATCGAGAAAAATTTTTTGACGTTTATTTCAATATAAAACGAATATAAGCAGGCTTACAGCAGCTTATTTATTTTTTTTAGTTTAAGCACTGAAAGATCAGTTTTAAGCAATTAAAATTCATGTTTGGAGTCTGTTTAGCGAAAGCTAAAAAAAACTTCTTAGTTTTTCTTCAAAAATTTTGAAAAAACAAATTTGAAAATTTTAAATTTTATTTTGATTTTTTTCTTGTATTTTTTTTATATTTTTTTGTCCAATTTGCCTATATTACTATGACTGTCGAGTATGCCTAAATTACAGTTTGAAGTCAGATCCTTTTTATCACACCTCGCAGAAAAAAATACACTAAATTGAAAAAAAATTTCTTGTAGATTTTCAAAGGCTATGGTCGGAACATTCTGTGCTACTTGCACAGTAATCGGCTATCCTTGTTTTCAATGAATCAGTGTTAAAAACGTTTTAGTGAGATGATAGCGACCAACTTGAATGAGATGCAGGCGAAGACGGGGAGAGTGAAGTTCAACAGCAACGGAGACAGAATAGACACAGAGTTCGACATTCTCAACATCAACTCCAGAAACGAGGTCAGCTGTCACATATTAACTCGCACCCCCGTCCCCTTTTAAATCCAACCCTGCTCACGCTCAAACGAAGATCTGTGAAAACAAGAATTAATCAAAAATAAACTGAGCGAACTATTGTTTCCAAACTTAACAGATGCATTTCTAACGTTGACTTCATTTTGGGCCATATGAGACTGGATAGCGGACGGGAATTATAATTATAGCTGTTGTTAGGTAGTGACAGTGGCCAAATGGAGGCCATTAATGGCCCAGCATGCCCTTCGGATGCACAGAAATGTGAGCATAGAGTGGCCCACTGGGAAGAGCGAAGTGCCCAATGGAATCATACTCAACAAGTCACTCAAGGTCAGTCGATTTAGAATAGATCAACATAGTGACTGCCTGCAGTTTCAGAAATAGGGGGGTCTATTCTCCTATAAGGAACAATTTTGAGGCTAGTGTTGTTTACAAATTGCATCATAATCCGTAGACCAAATCTGAATAATTAAACTTGATCTAAACCGTTACAAACTTTACAGAGAGTACCTTGTTTGTTTGTAATTTTGAACTGTAGAGGGAAAAGACCCCAAAGATCATACAAAACTATTAAATTATAAAGCGATTTAGCTAAAATTGCATTCATGTTCACTTAATCATTATAAGTTTTAAAAAGTAGGCTTCTGATCTGAAGGTTGAATTGTTTCCATTAATTTTTTTGGTAATTGTAAAGTTCCACCAAAGAAGAATTATTTCAGTCAAGATAAGATGTACAATAAAAATGCATATAAAATCTTCAAATTTTGCAAAACAACGGAAAAATAATTTTTTAGTTTTTGAACTGAGCATTACGATATGGGGGGGGGGGACTGTGCATGGTATAAAATGTCACTGCCACCGAGTAATCTGGTTAAAGTTGCAATAAGCACAAGGGCGGATATTGAAATTTCTCAAGGGCGGGTAACGGATTTTCGAAATTTTTTTAAAATTTAGTCGACTTTTTTAAACTATTAAGACTCATTATTTCGACACAATTTTTTGCGCTGCAAAAGAATTACAAAGTCTATCAAAAATTGCTTTTTTCTATCCCCAAAACTGCCATTTTTTGTTTTTTTTTCTAGTAAAGGTTATTTTTTGTTTTACAGATTGTGACGATGGACGTTGAGCCGTTCGTGTTCTTGAACCCAGTTGACCCCTTGACAGGTCAGTGCAGGAAACAGGTGCAGAAAGTGAACATAGCCAAGTACGGGGTGGAAGTGTCCTGCACTAAGTACAACTACACTAACAGTACATTGGGGAACCCGCAGCAGTTTTGCTGCAGTGGCTACTGCATTGATCTGCTGCAGATGTTGTCTGATAGGTAAAGTATTTAAATTGAAGCTGGAGTTCAGCTGAGTAAAACTCCCTTCAATAGAACAAATATATGCAAAACTTTATGAGCATGACTGAATAGCCGGTCGAACCTTTGTGTTAAGCTTACAAGTTTTTATGAAATCTATCTCGTTTTTTCTTAAATCAATCTGGTTTGGCAATAGTTTCACGAACCGTAATTATAAGAGTCGTAATTACCTTTAGTGGCATTGAGACTCACTTAGACGGAGTAAATCACTCCACGCTTCTCTTTTTTAGATGGAACTTCACTTATGATCTGCATATCAGCAAGGACGGCTCCTTCGGAAACGCCAAATCGGTAAGAAAAAACATTCAATTCAATTCAGGGAAAAATTCAAATACATTTTCAACAAATATATGACCAAATTGTTGTCGATTCTTTGTACCATCCACCTTCAATATATGGTTGACGATTATAAAAGAGAAATCCTCTCGGGCTTTAATTTATTTTGTGAGGTAATTAGTAATTGACTCAGTAATTTGTTTATTTTATAGTGTTTTTTTTAATTTTTTTTTATAGCAGTTAGGTTATCATAAAGATTTGTGTGCAGGAAACGCCTGATCCAACCATGATAGAACAAGGTGGCATCAACAGCAACCTTGACAACGACTTCTCCAGTAAGAAAATGTGGACTGGCATTGTTGGCGAACTGTTGAGGGGGGAGGCGGACTTAGCAGTGGCCCACTTGACCATAGACAACGAGAGAGCACAAGTGATTGATTTCTCAAACCCATTCAAACATCAAGGGCTGTCAATCATGGTCAAAAAGGTAGGACGAGCCTCAATATCGCAGGAACAACTATCAAATAAAAAACTTCAAGCATTAAATAGCACAAATTGAACAAGTTTTTGCTCAATTTGAACACAAAAATTGGTAATATATGAGTATGGCACTTTATTACTGAGTTATTAGTTTATTTAGATTTCACGATTAGCTAGTGGTGGATATTTTTTCGAACTTTGCTGATAGTTCAGAAAACTTTGTCCTAACCAAAAAGTATACTTAAATATTACATTAAAAGAATACTTAAATTTTTTCAAATTTACTTGAATAAATGATCTATTGAGAAGATAAATTGAGTTTTATTCTCCCAATTTACAAAATGGCTTTGAAGAAACTCGAGACTCACAATTTTTACCTTCAATGACAACTAAATGCATTGCTTCATGAACTCTTCTTCCTTTTCATGTCTAAACAATCTTATAATTGTTCAAAAAAATATTTTATATTACATTGTCTAGAGACCTGTGAGTACCGTCAACTTGATTATTACATGTTGTGTTGTTTTGGGTGCCAAAAACCAATCATGTTGAGACATCAAAGCCTTAAATAAATCAAAATGCCAAAATTTTCTGAAAAAACTCCGTCTCTAATCTTTGAAGTAGTCTGCATTCAACGAGGTGCAGTGATTCGTATGAGTGTCAATTGGCATGCCAAAAGCGTTTTGACTAAGTTTTGACAAAAGCGTTTTGACTCAAAAAAAATATGTGAGTAACGGGTCAAATGAAGTTGCGGCAATTGTTATCATTGCAGTTTTTACTATATATATCTTTTCATGCCTTGAGACTGATTGGAATTGGTCAATTAGGAAAATTTCTTGTAATTTAGAGTTACGTATTTTGAAATGAAAAATCTTGTTTCTTTGATCGACCAAAACGCTATTTTGCTTAAAATAATTACAAGTTATTTCCTCAAAATCCTCAATTACTTTTTTGGTACCATGGGTCCAAACTGAAAAACTTTTGCACAAATGAATTTCTTGGTTCGCATAATAAATCTAATTAGTTTCAGCAGTTAGTTTTTCGATTTGGAGTAACTCATTGTGTCAGAATTATTCCAAAGCAATTTGAGAAATTTAATGATTCTGATAATTGCTTGTAACCAGCTAAGTTTTAGCTAAAGGCAAATTCAGATATAGAACTATTGATTCTTAACTTAAGTGTAAAATTAAAAATGTGTTAACGTGTTATAAGCATGGCAAAGAAGTTTTTGTTCCGACTTTCGATACGAAAGTAACGGAATATTTGTGCTCGGTATGGGTTTTTTTTTCTTCAGACAAATTTCGAATTTTTAACTAGCCTTTTTTGACGGAATTATTTTATATCATTCGAAAGCTATTGTTGTCCTGAGCTCAATTTTGAAAAGATATTTCAGCTGTGATCATTTTTCGTAAAGTTACGGGGGTTTAAAGATCGCCATTTTGGCCAATTTGGGACAATTAACGCGCGATATATTTCGCGCTATTAACGCGTAAGCGGAGAATTAATCCGTCTTAGAAATTGTTCCAAATTGGTTAAAAGAAGCTTATTTGCCATAAAGGTTTGTTACAAGGAGCCAAATCTATCCTTTTGTACTTTATATGGCGTGTGGGGGGATGATTTTCGAAAAAAAATTCAAATTCAGAAAAAAAACTTTTATTTTCTTTTATTTCATTGAATTTTTGAATGTTATTACGGCTCCATAAACCTTAAAAGGCAGTCGGAACATTCAGGGCTTCGCCCTGATACGAGCAGTCTTGTTTAGTTATAAAACCTATTGCAAAAACAAGCGTTGATTGATGATTTAGCCTTCAAAAATTTATCCATCACGGCAGGAGCTCAAATTTTGAACAAACGCTCTAATAAATGCTCGAAAGAAATTAGACTAAGATAATTGGAAAGAAAAAACAAATTTTGAAAATTTCAAAATGAGCAAGTGGTTTTGAAGCATGAGGCGAAATTTTTTTATGTCGACTTGCGCATAATTCGCACCTAAAATCGCGTTTTTGTGTCGATTCGCGCATAAATCATTGATTAACGCTCACAGTACTGTTCGTGCTAACTTTAAAAGCAGCTGAGCGAATCGGGGAAAGCCATCGCTTTCTGTAAAAGATTTTCCGGTTAAAGTTCCACCGTTAATTATCGCTTTTTCTGTACTACCCCAGTGATCGCTATTTTCCAGTGCTGTTTCATGTATAATCCAGAGTTTTTTGCATCGATAAACCTGTGATATTTCAGAGCTATTTCAGTAATGATTCTGTAGAAAATCAGCGTTAAGACTTAAGAATTTTTAACTCATTCTAGTATCTTGTCTCTTAAGCTACATTTCTTGTCTACAAGTCTAGTAAGTTGATGGTTGCGGGATCGAACCCCGTTAGTTCACTATTTTTGCTCATTTTGATAGGTCTTATATCGTTGTTTCATCGCAGAAAAGTAGTCAAATTAGCGATAATCAGTTACGCTTTCAATACGCTTTTTTTCCAACAACGAGGCTATACTCTACTTATAAAACACTTTTTTTTGTTTGAATGTGTCTATGTGTGTGTGCGTGTGTGGTTGTGTGTGGAATCCAGAAACAAACCTGAAAACTGGTAAAAGATTTTTAAAAATCTTCTGCCAATTTATTGCAAATTCCATAAGCAATTACTTTGTAACTAGCAAGAAAAATTGAGCTTAAAAATTGATTCATTTTTTTTTGAAAATAAATGATGCAGAAATGACCCGTTTCAATGCTGCATTATTTATTATATTAAATTGTAAAATTCAGAGGAGTAAAAGGTTGGAATCAGGAAAACTACTAGTCATTACTATATTGTTTTTGTTTGTAAATTTAATTGTTCTTTTGACTGTCAAAGTTCGACAAAGAATGAACTAATTAGACTCAGATTTATCTAAAAAGTTGTGTTTTTATCTCAAAGGATTTAAAATCTCAGAGGATACTTTTTCGCATCTCAAAGTAATTATATAAGGTGGAAAAAATTTAAAAAGTGCCGTTAATTGTAATTGTAAATATAATGGCTAAAAAACGACATCGTTTTCGAATCTGATTTTCTTCTTTGTGTGCTAATTGAATTGAAAAGGCCTTTTCCAGCCTGTGCCTGACCCTGTTGAAACACTTTAATTTTTACTGTTCTGACCAATTTAAGTACACTTTGTATTTAGTTTTTTCTTTTTTGTTTCCTCGCAAAATCAGGTATCAGAAAGTTTTATCGAAATAGGTCGAGTAAAGTAATCTTCAGTAGTGATTCGAACGACGCTGAAAAAATTAATTTTGAGTCTAAAATCGAGCAAATAAAGCAAGCGAGCAGGCTTGCAAGCTTATTTATGCTTAATTTAGGCCGTGAAAACATAGTTTTATTCAATTAAAGTTAGTTTTTTGAGTTTTTCAGCGCTATTTTAAAGTTCCAAAACAATTCTAAAAAAGATTTAAATTGTTTTTGAAAATTAATTTTTGATTTTTGTTATCGTTTTTGTTTTTCTTTTGGCTACAAAAATGTTGTCCACTTTGCCTTCGTTACTCTGACTGTCGAGTGTGCCTAACTTTTAGCTTTTCATTCAGATCTTTTTATGACACCACACAGAAAAACGAGTTTTTTTTTCTAAAATTATCACACCACTCAGGAAAACGACATTTTTGTATTTTGTCTAAGGCTACGGTCGGAACATTCTGTGCTAACTGCAGATTAACCGGACAACCGTGTTTCGTTTCGATTTTATAAATGATTTTTTTAATTGATGATTTAAGCAATGGAAGCGTTTGTGCAAAGGAATCTTTACTGCACTTGCTATTTAAGTTGGCTTTTTTCTGGAATCTTTTTAGCTATGAAATTTAGACCTCACTTAATTTTTTATAGTTTTTCAGAAATAATTAGTTGGAACTTTTTTCTCTGAAGTAATTGTATCGTTTTGTGTTCACGTGTAGAAAGACACTACGAGCAACTTGGCCTCTTTTGTGCAGCCGTTCGAGTACCTGTTGTGGCTCCTCATATTCCTATCTGTTCACGTAGTCGCATTCATCATCTACCTACTGGACAAGTAAGCCCATTCAGCTAACGGCGGATGTTCTTCAAACCGCCATGTCTTCAGGCCGAAATTACATCAGAATTACATCGGAATACATAACAATTGCATGACAACAGTGACAGTCTTTTGTTATGTTTCGTAGCGATATTAAGTTTTGGCTTTTTGGTTGGTAATCTTATTTTTGGCTTGTTGGCCCTTCGGCTTGTCGGCCTTCAACTAACACAAAAATAGGAGGGACTGTATTGAAAAGGCTAATGTATGATGCTTCACTCAATCGAAAGGTCGCTAGTTCGAGGCCCATTATGATCCCTGCTCGTTGCCTTACGGTAACGCAAAAAACCTCAGCCCAAAAAAATAAATGAAAAAATCTTTTAAAATATCAAGAAGCAAGAAGGGGTAAAACAGAGGTAAACTGTTATGAGCTGAACATCTGCTACATGATCGTTGTAGCCACCAGCAGATTTAAAGGGAGGAGGGAGGTCGACAAAACTTTCGAAATTTTTTTGAAAATCCGCCTCCCCCTCGAGAAAAATCTAGATCCGCCCCTGGCTGTAGCAGCTACTCAAATTTTATTATATCAATGAGAGTAATATCAATGCTAGTGATTTCTTCTCTTCCTTCAGATTCAGTCCGTTCGGCAACATAAATGTGACCAAAGACACTACTATGGATGACAGTATGACCTTACCCTCTGCTCTGTGGTTCGCGTGGGGAGTTCTGCTCAACAGCGGAATAGGTCAGATTCGCCGAATTTTTCAGGAAAAGTTATTAAAAAATATGTTACAAAACATAGGTTAATTAGTTTCAGTTATCGAAACAAGAATTTTGATTAGTTTTTGATCAATGTTCCACATTGAATGCACTGAAAACTTTTTTCTGCCAATTTTTTGCTCAGTAGGCCATTTAAAACTATTTTGGCCCCAATATTTTTTCCTTTTATCTTTGCTTTAATTTATCTTTTTGTCATCGTTTATTCTTTTTACTAACAAAATTTTCCACGGTTCCCAAAATGAAGTTTTCAATTGTTTCTGTGTCTTTTTAGGAGAGGGAACCCCGAACTCCTTCAGTGCACGTGTGTTGGGCATGGTATGGGCAGGGTTCGCCATGGTGGTAGTGGCCTCCTACACTGCCAATCTGGCCGCCTTCCTCGTCCTCGACAGACCAGAGTCGGAGATATCCGGAATCAACGACGCCAGGGTGAGAGTCATCAATATCAGACTTTATTGGTGAAAAGAATTTGAAACCCTTTTTTTGAGATGTCGATCAAACTTATAAAATCCCATTCGCGTGAGATTGCACTGGTGTTCTAATAGATTGGCATGAGTTTTGCTTTTTGGAAACACAATGCAATCACGAAATACTGAGTTGATGATCTTCATTCTTCTCGCAAATCTCGTAGTGGTTTTTAGTTTCTGCTGTAGATCAATTCTTTCAAGAATTATAGTTGACGATGTGTTAGATAAAATGAAGCTCCGGACAAAAATAGCAGTTATTTTGTAATGATTGTTTTTTTTTATTTCCATTCCAATCAACGAGGAATCAAATCTTCGGAATTATATTTTGTTGCTTTCATTATTTTGTCTTTCCAGCTAATTAAGCATCAGTTTTTTATCCTTCACACTTCTCATAGCGTTTAATTAATAAAGTGCTTTAGATTTCCCTTTTTCTCCTGGCTTAATTAAGTGTCAGTTTGAACTCATTCACACTTCTTGTGACGTTTAACTTGTCATGTGCTGTAGATGAGGAATCCGTCTGAGAACTACAAGTTCGGCACTGTGATTGGAGGAGCGACTGAGGCCTACTTCAAGAGGAAGGTTGAGATGAGCAATATGTACAGACACATGATCCAGAACAGCTACACCACCTCCGCCCAGGCCATCAACGCCATCAAAAACGGATCCCTACAGGTGAGATCAACTCATCAAATAATAAAATGTCAATTGAGGAGTCACACTTATGTCTTGTAGTTTGGTCAACATGGCAACCGTATTTGAGGCGGGGCGGTTTAATCTTTCCCCAATCGGTACGCTACTGAAAAGGCGTTTTCAGTAGCGTGTAGATAGAGAAAAGGCGAAACTGTCCGCAACTCAATTCTGGTTGCTACCCGCACTGACAAATATAAATTACGATCAATTTTAATATGAAAAAATTATGTAGATTTAATTGATATCGATTTTAGAATGAAAAAAAAAATGAAGATTAAATAGAAAAAGGCATTAAAACGGTTTTAAATTAAATCGATATTTTTTTCATTCGAATTTCATCAATTTCAAGTTTGCGTTGCATTTATTCATTGCTTATCATTTTTCATCTTACATCCAACGCGTCTGGCAGCATAATACAAAGACTGAATACTTTTTTAAAAATCAATGGTATTTTATGATTTCCTCGAGCTCATTTTGAGCTCATGTTGTGTACATTTTGAGCTCAAAGTTTGATTTATTCTGGCCCTTTTTTGATTTGTTACTTAGAGTTTATGCGGAAATCTGGTTAGGAATGACAATTTTTTATAGTTTTGTTGCATTTATTGAACTCAAAATTAAATTTCTATTGTAGGTTTTTGAGATTTTCCATGAGTTCAATCTGATTTTTGTGAACCAGTTTGATCAGTTCTATAACAGCTGGCCCGTGTATATTTATTCAAAAAATCGCGAATAAACTAGTTCAGTTATTTTTTGTAAATTGCATTTTTTTCGCGTGTTAGCAGAAAAATTGATTTAAATCAATTTGAACTGGATTTTTTGGCCACTTGATATGATCTGCTCAGGGGCCTTTTAAAAGTAATTAATATGGTTTTTAGTAAGATTCAGATGGATTTAGGTGAGATTCGGATGAGTTTTAGTGAGTCGGAAGATCCATCCAAATCGATTTTTTAGACACTTAAATCGATCCAAAATTTTCGTGAAAAATCAATTTAAATTGGTTTAAATTCCATTTCAGTTTATTTAAATCGATCCGAAACAATTTTCGTCAGTGCGGCTTTGTTTACCACATTACAATACATAAAGGTGGCAAAGTCCACTACAAAATGTTCATGTTGCGTTTTTGTGCCTAATGGCAAGTTAAAACTCATACAAGCTTTAAAATGTATATTTTAATTGAATATACTTCCGTCTTTGAATTGAATTCCACTACAAAACGGCGGCAACATGTTAAAAGTCATAAACATGAAAAAAATTTCTCGGAATTCAGAACTGCAAAAAAACATTTCCACAGACGTATTACAAATGTGATAAAAGCAGCTATCATTAAATCCAGATTGATCACGTTGCATCAATTCTTGGAGCAACATAATGTAGAAAATGTAATGTTAATCGATCCTTTTTTTGTCAAAATGTTTTTCTGATTCCGATAAGGTTCCACATGTTGAGTTTCTACATTTTAAGTATCACCATTTTGGCATTTCAATACCTCCAATTAGTCGATTGCGGGGCAAATACTGGTGTCAAAAACATGCACCGAAGTTTTGAGGACAACCCGCATCCAAGTTTAGAGGTAAATCATCGATTATAACGGATTATTATGATGATTTTTGACAATTATAATCGATTATAATTACCAAAATTAGGTCTTTAAGGGATTTATAATTGATTATCATCGTGATATTTTCTAAGAGATTATTATCTCTTATAATCGATTATAATTGATTATAATTGACTCTAGTTCTTACTAAAAACCCTTAAAATTAATTATAATCGCTTATAATCGATTATAATCTCTTTTTTTTCCGAAATGTTCTTATATTCGAAATATATTTTATGGGTTATTTTTTTGTGTCAATAAAAAAATCTCTAAAAGAGAGATCTCTTGAACACTTTGTTTCATCTGAACACAAAGTTATACCACGAAATAAAAGTTTCATAGAGATCCTTTCATAAGAGTGGAAAGGTTCTCGCGGTAGATGAAAAATAAATTTTCCGAATAAATCATGAAACTAAATCCATCTGCTGATGTTTTGGTGTTTAAAAAAGCTTAAAATATGCATCACAAAACAACTCTAATGGGGAAGAAATGAAAAAAAAACTTATAAATTTGAATTAATTGGAAAACTTTAAAAACATTTTTCTCATTTTTCATAGGAACCAACGTACACAAAAAGCATAAAATGTAAGCAATTTAGATGCAACTTCAAAGACAAAAATGGACAAACAAAAGGGATTATAATCAATTATAATCAATTATAATGGATTTTTGTGCAAAACTAATAAAATAGAAATTCGAATAAAAACAATGGATTATTATCAATTATAATCGATTATAATTGTATCAAAAAATAGACGAATAAATAATCGATTATAATCGATTATAATGGATTATAATTAATCATAATTTGAATTTAAAAAGAGAGATTATAGTCGATTATTAATTGATTAAAATTGATTGTTTCTCAATTATAGTGAGACTGGTACTAAAATCGTAATATAATCGATAATTAACGCTTGAAACTGGATGCGGGAAAAATCTTGAACATAATGGGTAAAAGTTGTCTAAAATGATGTCATTTTAAACCATTGTTGTTGCAATTTAAAAGTGGGGCTGTAAAAGGGGGTGTAAGCGGCAAGTTGGGTGTAAAAGTTGGAAAGTTGGCTGTATTCTACGCTGGAGGAACGACAAAGGACGTAAAATGGACGTGAATTAACAAAAAGAAAGAGAAAATAAAAAAAATCATGAAGAAAATTGTGAACCAGAAATTAGAAAACGACCTAAATACTCATTAAGCCAAAGTGAACCTCAATTTATCCTATGTAATGTGTATCAAGCCAACAGAGATTCTTCGAGCTTTGAGTAAACTGCTCTCTGTTAGATTTGTTTCAGAATAATTTATGAACAAACTTATTGTAATCCATTATTGCGCTATCAAGCAGCTAGTGTTTTAGTAAGAACCTTTTTTTCTAACCTGACGAAAGCGTTCATTAAAAGTGTTCATATGTGTGTAATTATTTGCTATAACTTTGTTTTTTTGCTATAATTATAATCTGTAGAATTGGAAATTTCATAGCATTGTTCTCGGCTTTATTTATAGCTAGTGTTTGTGACCGACTAAGCGTTCGTGGCTGAGTGGTTAGTGTAGGAGACTCATAATTTTTTTAGGTCGCAGCAGATAGTAGATTCAATTCCGATTCCTCGGTGATTTTTACTAACTCGGGGCTCATTCTCACTGTTTTTATTGCACTTTTTAGAACTCTAGAGCTGCTTTCTGTCGTGTTGTAGCTAGTGTTTGCAAAGCGCATTTTAGAATCTGTTTTTAATCGATGTAAATGATTATTTTCTAACTTATAGAAACTGACAAAAAATCCAATATAATCGATTATAATCCATGAACCTCTAGTGCGAATGAGTTTTACCGTCGAAACTTTCCAAATTTTAATTGTTCTGAGCAGAATAAGGCAACAAACAAATGTTGCGACTTCTAGACTACTTGGGTCATAAATTGATACTCATGTTTTATTTTCATGATGAAAACAATGAAATTTACTCGAACAAAGGACTAAAAAATAATGCCGACAGGAGTAGGAACATTCAATGCTGCTTGCGCACCAACAAGCTACTTTGGTTATATTTCAAATTTTTTGATTCTTCTATTTTCATAGTTTCATTGGATAATGAGGTAAACGGCGAATTGTCATAGAGAAGGTGTAAGAGGGGGATGTAGGGATTGGGGATTATGAACGCATGAGAGGACCTAAACGAGGAGATGTGAGTGGCAAGGGGGAGGGGGGTGTTTCTAAACGTGAAGGGGTGTTTTTTGCTGGACGGACGACAATGGTCTTAAATTGGATTAGGGAGAGTAAATAAAGATCAGCAAAAATTAAGAAACTAATAACTAATTAGAATTTTGTTTTATCAGATGTAACGTGCATTTAGTCGAAAGCAACTGGTTTGAATTTACTTCACTGTGTTTAAAACTTTCAGAAAATTTTACGAACAAAAATTTTTACATTCCATAATAAATTATTAAAATAGATTTTATTGATTCGACAAAAAATGATTATAATCATCCATTTTTAATCGATTCTAATAGATTTTTTTTTGATTTTATAGAGATTGACAATGGAAATTTAATATAATTAATAATTGTCCATGAAAATACAGTGCGATAAGCCAAACAACCATTTTTGGTTGTTGAGCGGATTCGACCATTTTGAGGTTTTAGTCAATGTGAAAAATAGTTTTCGTTGAAATGCATTATAACTGCTGGTCTCGCAAACAGAATAGAGTGTTTTCCTGCCTTTGCGAGCGCAAAAATATTCCCGAGACATTCGAACGCTTTCACAATCGTCATGTTATTTAGACCTGGTTTTTTATTGAATCTGAAAGTTATAAGCCTTTCTGAACAGAGGTATACACTACATAACCATTGCATAGCTAAAATAAACGCGAACTTACGCAAAAACTGAAAATCGTTGTTTCTGATTGAAAATGCGTTTTATTTCTAACCTTATCCGACATTAGCGTTTTTTTTATGAAACAGCTCTTTATGATTTCTGTTACCGGCTTTGAGCAAGCAATCAAACTTAAGTGCTTGAATTTTTTCATGCAAAATTTGTTAAGTTTTGCAAGGAAATTTTTGTCGTAAAATTTCACCATTTTGGTTAAAGGAATGCTTGAAGGGAATTAACTATTCAGAAAAAAAGCAATTTAATGCCGAAAAAATTAGTGCTTTTAAGAGTTAGAAAGAATTTTGGTTTTTGTAAGGTTTTTCACACAGGTTTAGATACCTCAAGCTGAGCGTTTTTGATCTTAAATGGGATATCGTATTATTAAAGCGTTTTCAGTCGTGATGCGGGTTCAAAAAAAAATAAAACTCTCACTAAAGCCCATGAGATTTTTTGCATTTCACTCATAATTGTATTATAGCAATTGTGAAATAATTTGTGAATATTAATACTTGGCAGCAAATTTGGGAACAAAACTTTTTCAAACGAAAAATCTTAATTTTTATTTACAAACTTAACTTGAGGTTTTTGTTTCTTTTTTGTAGGCCTTCATCTGGGACAGCGCAGTGCTGGACTATGAGATCTCGAAGGATTGTTCTCTGATGACGGTTGGGGAATTGTTCCACAGGAGTGGGTTCGGAGTGGGCATGCCCAAAAACAGTCCCTGGAGGGTAAGTGCACCCGGTGTCTAAGTCCTTAAGTGCTAAAGTGTATTTTGAAATGATGTTCCACGACTGAAATAAAAAATCAGAGCCCTTGATAGGTGACTATTCTTCGACAATCAAAACTTTTTGATGATCATCTAAGTACTTTAAGCTATTTTATTGCAAACAACTTCATATTTTCAAAGAGGCTAAATGTTTTTTGATTGATTGATAAAAACATTTGCTGGTCCTGCATCCTAATATGAAATAAATCCAGCATCAGCATCACTTGGCACCAGAAGGTGTTAGAAAAACGATGTTTTCTCTTAATAAAGTTCGCATCCAGAAATTAGGCGCCAACAAAATTTGTCGAAACGTAGTCCTCCCCAACTACACTCGCTGTTCTAAAGGAGTTTATGGCGCAAGTGTTCCTTGTCTTGATCTATTTGAATTTATGCTCTCATAGGAGAAAGTGTCGATGGCGGTGTTGGAGTTCCACGAAGATGGATCCCTGGAAGGTCTGGACTCCGACTGGGTTAGCTACAGGTCCTGTGGAACCCAGGACTCCATGCCAGCCACTCTTGGTAAATTAGCGTTTTTTCTTAAATATTCTAAACATTTTCATCTGATGTTACTATGAAATTCATCGTCGAAAATAATTTGAATAGAAATTAAAAGCTTCAAAACAAGCAAATGTTAAAAAAACGTGGAAAAACAAATGATAAAAATGCGGACCATAAAAAGAAATTCCTTATTCGAAAAAGTAAATCGCCGATAACTGTCAAATGCATTATCTCATAAAAATTTTATTTATATTTATTGGATCTGTTTGATTAGTAAATAGATACAAAATTTACACATGCTTAACCGTTCCATTAGTTCTATATAGGGGTGGCAATTCGTTACTAGGTACTATAGGGGGGTGGGGGAGGGGTAAATTAAAGAAATCACATATCATAATTAATTTTATATTAGTAGAATTGTGGACCTAATCAGTTATAAACTGACTTCCACATCTGTGTTTGCAGGTCTGAACAACATGGCAGGAGTGTTCATCCTGGTGGCATTCGGGATAGTCCTGGGGATCCCTGTAGTGTTCCTGGAGATAGCCTACAAGAAGCAGCAGGAGAAGCGAGAGAAGCAGATCAAACTGGCCAAGAAACTGGCCAATCAGTGGCGTCACAAAACACAGGTACTAAAGCATCATTATTGTAAGTACCCCCCATTGCTGAAGAGTAAGATCAAGACTCAAGATTAACATTTTTGAAAGATAAATGAGCCTAACGTGCAGCAGTTTTTGCATAACGCTAGATGATTACGAACGAAAGCTCTGGTTTGTTTTCAGGGTTGCTTCCATGTGTTTTAAAGTAGCAGTTACCTAGTAACTTTAAACTTATTTAAATTCGTAATTAAAAGGTCTTTGATAACATATATCACGCAAACGTATCGATTTTTTGACAATTTTTTGCAAAAGGAGAATGAGTTTTACTCGCCATTATAATTAGAAAAACTATTTTCAGTATATTTTTTTCTATAGATTTTTTTCTATTTGATCAATTCATGTTTTCAAAACTATCATCAGCTTGAATGCGATATAGATTATTTTGAGTTAAGTTTTTGCAATGCGAATACTGCATTTCTTGCCTGTGGAAGTTAATAGAGCTTCATTTATCAAAAAAGAAGTGAAGCATGATCCGGAACTGGCGTCATGGTTTAGTTTAAACAGACATGAACTAAAACAAAGGTCAAAGTTAGACTACTCTCTTTGGCATTAATTTCAACAAAAGGCTGGACTTCGAAGGTCACTTGACTATAATTTGCTCATAAATTAATTCGGTAGTTTTAGCGTAGTCTTTTAGTTGAAAAAAATTGCATCAGTTTAATTCTGGTATAACATTTTAAACAACTTTTGCTCGCATCACTTTTTGTCTGTCTTCAACACAAATTGAGAAAAAAAATTCAATTTTCAAATTTTTTTTCAGATGATTTGAATCAGCACTGTACCATTTGGTCATATACGCACTTGTGTTCAAATAAGATATCTCAGCAATAAGTTTAGCTATGATGTTGAAAAACTGATACTCTATTTGAAACAGATCGAGAAAATGGATTATAAAAAAGTTTTCAAGCTGTGAGACAATGTCCCACAGTGACAAAAGTGGATGGAAATTGAACAATAAACAACAAAATAATTCAGAATATGAGCACAAAATTTTGGAAAGGTATCATAAAATCATGCTTCAAAAAAAATTTAGAAATAAAAGAATTAGAAAACACATCAAAATAGTATAAATTAATCAAATTTAGGCCACAAATTGATCAAACAAAAACATTTTAAAAAGGTTGAATCAGATTTTGAACCCAATCTTGGAAAAAATTAATCAAGAAAACTTTCAATGCCAATCTTTTGGGACACATTGCCTTGAAAGTTTTTTTGAAATTGGTCATTACTAGTCATATGACTGGGTTTTGCGTAGACAACTTTTTTTATCAAAATCTTAATTGATTTAACTCTGTGATCTCCGCCGACGAAAAAAAAACTAAATTTCACGGACGTGATATATCTTTTTAACTACATGTGGAAAAAAGGATTTTATAGATTATACTTTGAGTAATTTTTTTCTTAAAATATTGTGTAGTGTAATTTTCTTATAGTCTGAATAGACCCGCAATGGAGTTTCATGGGAAATAATCTATTATAATGGATTATATCGGCAAAAATTTAACCCATATAATCGATTTTCTTGACCCATCCAACCATGAAAATGGATTTTTAGGGGATTATAATCGATATTTTTCAATACATAAAAAATTCCAATTTAATCGATTATTTTCTGCAGAAATTATTTACAGCTAATTCAACTCTTGAGACATTTGGATCGTAAAAGTTGTTATAAAATCAACGTCCTGCAAATTTAGAACACGAACAAACCTGTTCATCCCTAAAAAACTCAAAAAAGATTGTCTCTCCTAAAACACCCCTCGCCCACTCCAAGTTTACCACCACCCGCCCCTAATGTTTCCCTCCACATTTTACTCCCACCACCTACCCTACCACCATCACTTTAGCTACACACCCCCCCCCCCCCCCTACTCACCCCCAACACCCCCCAGGTTTCGACACCCCTCTCGCGCCACTCCCAAACCCCCCCCCCCCCCCCCCCGCCCGGGGTAAAAGTACGGGTGCGGGTACGGGCATCAATACCATCAATACGGGTACTATCCTGATTATTCGTAATCGAGGGTACTAAAATGAGTGGAGAGTCCTAAGTGGCGGGGGGGGGGGGGTAAACTGGGGGGATATAACTGGAGGGGGCTGTTGTTGCAAATCATACCATTCTTTCTTATTTCATTTAATTTGTCTTAAATTACTTTAACTGGTTAGTTTAGATTTGACCTTGTTATGTTCATTCTCTCCGGCGGAGAGAATTCTCTCTCACTATTTAATGTTTTAACTTTGAGATTAATTCACTTCTTAAACTTATTTTATCTGTAACTAAGTAGAATTAGCTGTAACAAAGGAACATTTTATCATGGCGCAGTCAGACAGTAACGAACCAAACGTGAGAAGTATACCTTCATTGTGGCAAAACCACACGGTGGACCCACCAATTCCTTGGGAAGAGTGGAGCGACTTATTCCAACTAGCAATAATCGCAAAGGAAAACATCGATATCGAAAATCTCTTGAATCTAACGGAACGATATCACCCACTCCCTCCAACACTAGAAAATCCTCCGGAAAACGAATCTGATTCTCAAAAAATATCTGCATTGAGAGGAATATCCGTGAGCGAAAGGGGTACGATGATGAAAAAACGGCCTCAATAAAATCAGAAACTAAGAAATTCAACGGCATGAGACTAGAAGAGGTGGTTAAAGAACTCAGGTCCATATTTTATTTGGCCCTCGGAAACGAAGGAAAAAAAATATTCGGCCAAAAAAAAACACGAGAGTTAAAGTTCTGCAAGTTTCTTTCAAAGAATTTTGGGAAAATTTGTCTATAGCCTTTGTGAGAAAGACAAACATAACCTTCGAAAGACACAAGCTGTTGAATAGAAAACAGAGAAACCGAGAATTGCTAGAACAATTCTGGGGGCACTCGCAGAAATGGCAAAAAGATGTGACATTTCCACTGGAGAAGTTGAGTGGATTTGAGATATATTTATCAATGATATGAAGAACTCGGACATCCAACAGAAACTTCTGACGGAAACTCTACCCCTCTAGAAGCTTTAAATGTGGCCTTGATCGATGAAAAAGGAATATCAAACCACATTAAAATGACGAGTACTTTTAAATCCAACGGATACCCTTCCAGTAAATTTTTTAATCATTTTAATGTAAAAAGAGAACCCACCCTAAATATCGAAAGGAACAACACGTGTATGAAATGCGGCGGAAATTTCACCATAGGACATCTGGCAGTTTGCCCCGCAAAAGATACGACCTGTACGACTTGTAAATATTGAGGATATTTTACTAGACTCTGTAAATCACGCCGTAAAAATGTAAATATTGTAGATAGTCAAAGTGTAAATAATACAGATTGTAATTATCCTTCGAAACATCCGGATGTAAATAACGACCGCGCTAATAGAGAATGCTGTGGAGTAATCAACGCATGGTCGGAGTCCGGACAGAGCGATAACGATGATTACTCTGTATTAAACGTAACAACTATCTACGTCGATCAAGGAAAGGAATTGAAGAAACTTTTAAACATCGGCCTAGGAAACGAAAACTAAGTAATTCTCAATATACAGGTGGATTCAGCTAGCCCCGTGAGTTTCCTTAAATAAAACGTCCTACACGAGTTGAAGTTACGAGATCCTTATGTGAAGATATATCCAGTGGATCAAGCGACTAAAGAACTTTAATGCGGATTTACGAACAATGCAATAAAAATCACTGGAAAAGTAATTGTTCCCATTTGCTCAAATGGATGGTCTCATAAGGAATGCCACTTCTTCCTAACAAAAGGACATGAAAGAAACATCTTGAGGAAAACAATTTGCCAAAGTGGGAATCGAAGTTTCACAGAAATATTACCCGCTACACATAAACAAGAAAACTTGTATTGCTATCAATTTAATTACATCACCTGACAAAGAGAATGAAATAGACATGATTTCCAACACTTTCAAACAATTCCTTTGGATTGGAAAAATAAAAAATCAAACAAAAATAACACACTTTCACGAACCACTAAAGCCAATTCAACTAAAAGGCAGGTGAGTCCCATTACATTTACTGGATTCAGTAATAGCAAAATTTTTCAGACTCAAATCCGAAGGACATATCAAAAAATTAGAAAATTGCGACGATGACAGAATTATTAGCCCGATAGTTATCACTTGTAAAAAGGACAAATCAATAAACTTAGCCCTAGATTCAAAATTTATCAACAAACAAATTTACAAGAACAAATACCAGATGCCCAACATACATGAATTAGTGGACAATGTAGCGGCTCAAATTTCCAACAATTCCACCGGAGAAGTGTGGTTCACCAATCTAGATCTAAAGAATGCATATAGTCAACTTTCGTTAGACAATTTTACTAGCAGTCAATGCAATTTTAGCCTAGTAGGCGAAGATATAACGGGCACATATCAATTCTTAACCGGTTTTTATGGACTCGACGATATGCCCAATGAATTGCAAAGATCCATGGACTCGACACTGGGAAATATTCCTTTTACCAATTGTTACCTAGACGACATTTTAGTCGCTTCCAAAGGAAGTTTTATTTACCACAAGAAAATTGTTCACAAAATTTTATCAACGTTAGACAGTTACAATTTTGCAGTTAAATGATCGAAATGCTAAATTTTCCAAAAAGAAATCGAATGAATTGGTTTTAAAATATCGAAATCTGGAATCGCTCCACTAATCGATAAAACCAAAGCGATTAAAGATATCCCAATTCCAAAAAATCTAAAGGAATTTAGATCATTCTTCGCGTCAACTAATCAGTACATCAAATTTGTACCATTACTAGCATCCCTCGGAAGCCCGCTAAGACCTCTTTTAAACAAGAAGTCGATTTTCCTTTGGAATGAAGATCATACAAAAGAGTTCGATAAGATAAAACTAGAACTAGTCAATCTTACACAAAACACTCACTTCGACGTTAAAAGAATCACGAGAGTGAAAATCGACGCTTCACATAACGGGTTCGGTGCATCCC